ACACACACACACACTCTCCCTCCTTCCCTCCCTCCCACACTACCTCCCATTGTCTTGTAACTGTAGGTGCCTTGGATCCTTTGAAGTGCCAAGTGGTTTGGGCGTGGGATCCTTTGATATATTGGAATTCTTTTATAGATCTTTTCAGAGTGATAGTTTGTGTTTTGACTACTTGTTGGCATAAAACACGTGTACTGTGGAGCTAGAGGTGCTACTTAGATGTCTCAGCCCGTGTCATCATGTCTGACTGACTGGCCTCCTGGGTAACACCACACGTGGCTTAGGATAGCGGCCGTCTCTTCATCTGGTCAGCGTTATCACTCCCTGAGGGCTGTGCTCTGGGAGGCTTTCTCTGATTCATCTACATGTTTCTTCTGTTCATACCTTTGGTTCCCTTTCATTTGGCTGGTGTTAAAAAAAAAAAAGTTGGACAATGAAATAAAATAATTAATACAATGTATGAATGTGTGGATTGTGATGAGTTGTATGAGCCCTCAATAAAGTGATTAAAAAAAAGAAATACAAAGAATCTACTTTGAAGTTATTTCACAAAGATATAGCATTTTACTGGCATAGCTCATGGTTTAGCATGAAATGGAAGCAGTGGCTAGTGAGACTGAATATAATGATAGGAAACAAATAGGGAGCCAGAAATCATAGAAAGGGCCATTTAATCCTCCTGGCTTTCTAGAAGCATTTGTTTCAGGAAGAGTTGTCTCAACAAAGTGGTATTGTGGAGTTACTTTAAAGTTGAGGCTTCTGAAGCCTTGTTGAGCAGTGGGTGGATTTTGTTGATCCAGAAAGCACATGCGTTATATGTGTCTCTGCGGCTTGTGTTTGTTTGACTGAAAGATGTGCTTCTTTTTCTTTCAAGAATGGTTTCGTCCTATCTAGTGCACCATGGGTACTGTGCCACCGCAGAGGCCTTTGCCAGATCCACAGACCAGACCGTCCTCGAGGAACTAGCTTCCATTAAGAATAGACAAAGTAAGCGCAGCGTGACGCGTGGCTGACCCTTGTTTTCAGAGTACCAGTTTGCCTCCTTCAGACTTGTACATTTTTAAGTATTAAAGTCGTTTTGAATAAGTAGCAGAGGCAACGTGTGCATGAAATGTAAGTATCTCTGAATTGTAATTGCTTTCTGGATGTAAGGTAGTCGTGATGGTTGGTACTCATGTGTGCTCTTTAAGCTAACGCTCGGCACAGCTACACGGCCTGGTGAGCACCATAACCTCTTCCACGGTGAGTCGTCCGAAAATTCGCTGCTGTTGAGCCCTCAGGGTGGGTCTTTCATATAAATAGTACTAGTCAATCAATAAAAAGTAAAGTTCAACCCAGAAAGTCCCAGAATGAAGTGGGAATGAAAGCGCAGGCTTCAGACCTAGACAAAAACCGCGTCCAGAGGCCAGTTGATCCAGTGAACGCACCTCACCAAGGAAGGAAGAGCCTAACCAGCACGCCAACCCTAAATCTCAGAAAGCGCCCAAGAGCAGCAAGCAGGACGAAAGATCTGAGCAGACAGACGTGGGAAATAGTAAAGAAGAATCACAGGGCAAGAGCCTGAGTATAGGACAAAATGCAAAATTACAGAAATGACCAGACTCATTCCTCTGTTAGAACCTGGTGGAACCTGCTGAGCTTATGCCCCATAGCCCCCTTTCCAACCTGGAACTGAACCCCTTCCCAGAGGTCAAACAATGGACAGGCCCAGAGAGGGAACACAGCATCCATGAGGAATCTGCTCCTTGGATCCATCAACCACAGGAGACCAAAAGTGCAGCCACTGCACAAGAGAGAAGCTGGGGCAGGAAAGATGAGAGGCCGGGCGGGAACCCAGGGGCCGGGGAAGAGTGCCGCCACCGTGAAGGAGCCGCAGCTCGGACCACGGCACCGGGGCGGCCTGTTGCCGGGCATCACTCCACGCCACACACTTCCGCAGAGCGCACTGAAATGGCATGGAGAAACAGAAAGTTATTTTTTGTTTTTTGCTTTGTTTCTCTGAATAGGAATTCAGAAATTGGTGTTAGCAGGAAGAATGGGAGAAGCCATCGAAACAACACAACAGTTATACCCGAGTTTACTTGAAAGAAATCCTAATCTCCTTTTCACATTAAAGTGAGTTTGTTTATGTAAAGTATGCTAATTTATTATATATCATTGGAGGTATGTAGAGCCAACATACATTTCCTATTAGTACCGTCATTTCTGTTTTACCGTGTTTCAAAATACTTGCATTTGCTTTTGTAATGTAGCGCGTGTAATTGAGTAACAGGTTATAAAACACCTTTGTCGAGCACTGTACGCAGACAGCATCGTTGTCATATGTTCGTCAGTCATTTTGTTGTGGACTCGAGGGGAAGCCGTCTCATTCACACACCAAGTGCATCGTGTCCTGGACACCATTTGATCTACGTACAGATGTTTTGTTTGAATTCTTTTTAGCTCTAAAAATTTAAGCCCGTTTTAATTTTCTTACTGTAAACCCTTTATTTTCTCTAGTAAATCTTTGGATTAAGGAGCTAAGTCTCTTTTGCATTGTATTCTCCCATTTTTCTCTGGGAAACTTTTAAGTTTATTTAGATCAATAGCGATAGATATGGAACCATGTTTACTTTTGTTTAGCTCACTATTTGTAGACTTTTTGATAAGCACACACTTATAAGTGTTTCGGAAACCTGTTAGTTATTCAATAAATGAAGAAGCCATTTGAAAGTTATGTCTACACGAATGTTTCTCTTCTCTTCCAGAGTGCGTCAGTTTATAGAAATGGTGAATGGTACAGACAGTGAAGTGCGGTGTTTGGGAGGCCGAAGCCCCAAATCTCAAGACAGTTACCCAGTTAGCCCTCGACCTTTTAATAGTCCAAGTATGAGCCCTAACCATGGGATGAATATTCACAGTTTAGCATCAGGCAAAGGAAGTACTGCACATTTTTCTGGTGAGATTTCATCTTTTGATACCATGTTCACATTTTCACCCTTGTTAACAGTTTTAAACCAGGATAAACAGAAACAGCTAGAATCTTATCGGTTACAAGAAGTGTCTTAAGGAACAGCTATTTCTGGGAACAGAATAGTTGAAGATGTTCAGAATGAACGCACACAGTCAAAATGAGTTGTTGCTAGAAATGGACTCAAAGATATTTGATACTGAAGAGATAATTGTGTTTTCACAGAGCATGTGAAAGTGGTTTGGCGGTGATATTTTACGGCATCGATCACCAAATCTAACAGGGCAGCTTACCAGTGTGTGTCTCTCTCTCTCTCTCTTTCTCTCTCTCTCTCTCACACACACACACACACACACACACACGTGCGCGCGCGCACATGCACATTTATTCCAGTTCTGTCTCAGGCTTGTCTGGAGTTGGATCTCATCTACACTTAACTGTCTAAAACGGAAGTCAACAAAGTTTCCTTGGGCTTGGCAGTCAGGCTGTACGAAGTCTGCTTTGCTGTCTCTTAGCGTACACCACCCTCCCGGGCTTCCAGAGGACTCTCTTTCCTTAGCCACCCCCTCCGTCTTCACTGTTGTACAGCCGCTTGCGACTTCACTTGCTCAAAACAACCCCTTCTCTTTCTATAAAGAGAGATTTCCTGATGCTTCCCCATCTTAGTGGTGATTCCCAGCCAGCCATTCGCCCAAAGCCACACAACCTGGGGTTAATGTCGCCTTGTAGCCTCACACGAACACATCCACAGCCTATCGCCTGGCTGCACGTGGGCTCTACTCCTTTTTGGTTCAGTTCTCTTCTCACTGTGTCGTCCAAGACCACCACTGCTTCTTACCTGGACGTCTAGACCGGCCACTTCTCCATGCTCCTGATCTCTTTCAAACACTCTCCCACTTAATGCTGAGTGATTTAAAAAAAAAAAACAGAACCTCAAATCGGAGTATAAGCTTCTGCTTACTGACCTTTCATAACCTTCTATAAGTCTGAGTAAAATGCAGGGACCTTTAACATTAAAAAGGTCTTCTCCATTTTGCACTATGGCAATACCAGCCTTCTTTCATTTATACCCCTTCCCCTTCTCAGCCTCATGGTTTGTAGGATACACCTGTATCTCTTGTTGCCTGAAGATAGCTTGTATTTCTTCTATAAAGAGCAATAAAGTTAGCTTTAATTAAATAAATCATTGGTAGATGTGTGATCGTGGACAGATTTCTTAAATTCCTTGAGCCCCAGTATAATCAACTGTAAAATGGAGTGATGATAATATTGCCATCACGGGGATTGACTGTGAGATCCGTAGTTAATCCTCCAGCAGAGGTTAGAGAAGATGGTAATTACAGCTCCCAAATAAGTAATTTGTTCCCAAATAATATTCTTTCAAAGTAGTCTTATTGATGCTCCTATATAATATCCAAGCCTCGAATTTTAAAAAATATGGACATTATTGCCAGTCAAATCAATAATTGTTTGCTTCTATTTTCATGTGGTATTCCCCCTCCTTTTCCCCCCCAAGGTTTTGAAGGTTGTAGTAATGGTGTAATATCAAATAAAGCACACCAGTCATACTGCCACAGTAAACACCAGTCATCCAACCTGAATGTACCAGAGCTGAACAGTATAAACATGTCACGATCACAAGTTAGCAGCTTCCCCAGGTAAGCGGTTTCTAGTATTTGCATTGTGTAAACCACTGTCATTATTGTTCCCGTTTTGAAGGAAATGGAATTATAGTGGGAATTCCCAAGTCCTCAGAGAATAACAGGGTAAGAAATAAATTCTTGATTGTGCAAATCTTCTTGATATGACAAATTAATGAATTGTGTGACATGTGGATGAAGTGTTTAAAAACAAAAGAAATTCCCAAAGCCTTTCTATCTCTCAGCATGCACCGACTTTCTCTTTCCTCCTCCTCGCCTCTGTAGGCCCTCTTTCCTCTACCCTTGCCGGTGAGTCAGTTCCGACTCAGAGCAGCCCTGACAAGTCAAGGGAAACTTCTTTGGGTCTGAGCAGGAAGTAATTTTTCCCTCAGAGCAGCTGGTGGGTTTCATCTGCCACCCTTGCAGTTAGCAGCCCCTCAGGCCGCCTTCTCTTCCCACTGCAGGGCCCCTGCCTAGTCTCCCACAAGACACAGGTGACTGACTACAGAATGCCACGGGTGAGGTGTCCTAGGGAAGTCTCATGGTATAGGCAGCCTCTGATGGAATCTTCATAAAGTAACTTGCACACTGTCCTTTTCTCTCTGTGTAGGATTTTTAGTGTAAACACAGTGTCTTCCGAGTTTCAGATAGCACGTTAGTGAGGGTCTTCTTGGGGCAACCTTTAAGTAGCTTGCCTACCACAGATGGGTAAGTCACTAAGTGAACATATTTTGAGGAGCCCTTGTGTGCCAAACATTCTGTTAGGCATTTGAGATACAGAGGTGACAACGACATAGTGTCTGACTTCAAACAGCGTTAAGAGTGGTAGCAACTAGCTCAATATTCTGCCATCTTTGTCATGCTCGGGGCTTAATAGTTATGAATTCATGGAGTGTGACTGAGTTGAGAATATCCATTTCTCACTGATCAGCATGCTTGGGCACCAAAGACCCGATCGTTCTGTGGAAATGGGTGTTTTGCGACTTGGAGGCTTGGCTGTACCAGATCACAGAATGGAGAGCGGCCCTGCGTTTGTTTTCTAACTCTCAGATGACTGTATTTCGCAACTGCCAAGTTCCATCGTCACACAACGGCCAAACCACTGAGACTTGGGGCCCAGCCACCCAGCAGAGCCAGCATTACTCTCACCTCGTGCATGGGTGTGCATGACTGCCAAGGGTGCAAACCCTCCAGAAAGGAGACTTGATGTTTTTTTACAGCCGTCAGAAATGTGAGATGTTGGATAACAAGGCAGTTGATAGTCATGGAGTGGGTATATCATGTACACAAGCAAATCTTTATGAATGAGCCCACAGGTTTTACATCAGAGCCCCATTTGGTTCTAGTGAAATAACTTTGGTTATGTTCATAAAGATCACGGATAGATTTATCAACTTGGCGCTTTTTTCCTGAATCAAACTAGTTGGTGAAACTGGATTTTGTGGGAATGTTGTAGTCACTACAAAACTTTCATATGGAAGGAGTGGAGCTCACTGAAAGATGAAAAGGTAGAGAGAAGCCTTATCACGGACTCTTGACGGGAACCTGATTCTGGTGAAAACTCAACCTCATACCACCTGAGTCGTTGCCAACTCAAATGACTGTCTAGAACTGCCCGCTGAGTGTCAAGGTTCAAGGGTTCAAGTGTCAATTATTAAGGGTTCAAGAAGGAGGAAGGGTGGGAGAGGGAGGGGAAAAAATGAGGAGTCTGATACCAAGGGCTTAAGTAGAAAGAAAATGTTTTGAAAATGATGACGGCAACATATGTACAAATGCGCTTGACACAATGGATGCATGTATGGACTGTGATTAGAGTAGTACGAGCCCCCAGTAACGTGATGAATAATAAAAAAGAAGTCTCTCGCTGAGGAGGTCAGGAAACTTTCTAAGGACGACTTATTGGAAGATGAGAATATTGTAATGGAAATTATGTATGGAACATTCTGGTACTAATGCTTCCTTGTTGATAGAGCGCCCTGCCTGTGCTTGAGGTTGGATTGCTGCTGTTCGGGGGGTTTCTCACCTTCCATACCTGCGGTAGGAAGTTGCCTAAGAGACTTGGGTTGAAGGAAGCGGAAGAGGTCGGTTAGGCAACACCCTCCTTTCTGCACCCAAGGAGAAAGGAGGGAGGGGAGCGGGTAAGCGTTGAGGTGAAGTCATATAACCCTTTAAACAGTACAGTTTCTATTTCATAATGGCTTTCTTTACAACAAGATTATGAAGCAGATAAAGGTTATCTTAACTATGGGAAAACCATTTTGCAGATGGAGAACTGAATATCAAAGTAAGTGATTTTTAAAAACGGGTTAGTACCATATAAGTTGTAGGGCTGAGACTTGTAGTTCCTGGGCTTTCTGAGCGGAGTGTTTTTCCCACTAAGCCTCCCGCCTGAACTGCTCTTGTTGCCGCCCTCCCTCACCGCCATCCCAGCTCCGCTCAGTCTGTGTGACTCCAGTCAGCTGTCACTGTGTTTCCTGGCCCCCAGCCTCACCAGACGGTCCACAGCGTACATTCGTCGTGTGGCTGCTGTGCTTCACTCTGGTCAGCACGGCGGGCTCTGTAAGGCAGTGGCTTCCTTAGATAGGCCGCAGCTGCTGGAGCGGTCACCTTACCTGGAGCATGCCCAGAGGCTCTGAAATTTGTGTTGATTGAATGACTGCCCCTAAATAGGGCATTGAGTTGTGGAAAGGTTTCATGTTTTTTTAAGGTGGTTAAATTTTGTGATCTTAAGACTCTGTGTTAAAATAAGCATGCTTTTGATAGGTAGAGTGTTCTGTTTGGTGGTGTTTTGCCTTTTCTAGAGTGTGGCTAGATGTGGTGGATATGCGTTGACAAGTTATCTATGGATAACGTCACATAGACGTTTATTCCGTAAATGTGGAGTGAATGAGACTCTCCAGTATTCTAAGTACCCCGAACAGCATTTGTGAAATTACAACCCAGCAAAAACTATGTTGAAGCTTTAGCTTAAAAGGAGCCTGTGTGGGAGAAATTGTCACGTATTATAAGGTGTGTAAGAAGATGAGACTACGTAGTTAGACCCTTGGTTTTCAAATCATTGTTTACTTTGGGGAAAAATATATATGATAAAGATCAGAGTGTTATGACTGTTAAAGGAAGAGTAGTGTAGAAGTGGGTTGACTGGACAAGCAGCAGGTGACGGGAGAACAGAATAATGTGCTCATCTGATGGCGCAGGACTTCTGTGGGTGTAAAGATACATAAACGTCTACGTTTTAGCACATGAACTTTTCCCCTCCCTGATCTCAAAGGGTACAAATTTGCCAGAAGGCATCTACCTACTTGATTTTAATATATTTGATACTTAATGAAATATACTTTTTTGCAGATTGCTAATGCCTTCTGAAGCCATTTTATAAGTAGGTTATGCAGTTGGGTAATGGTAATTTTAAACTACGTTGCAAGTATGATATTTCTAAAATTGGGTTTGTTTGTCATTTTCAGTAATGATGTAGACATGGAAACAGATCACTACTCCAATGGGGTTGGAGAAGCATCGTCCAATGGTTTCCTAAACGGCAGCTCAAAGCATGACCACGAAATGGAAGATTGTGACACTGAAATGGGTCTGCAGTGATATTTCTTGCGTTTCTAATAAAAACGATGGCTACAGGGTTATGACTTTACTTGTAATGAGTCACAGATGATGAGCGAAAGCCAAATACAAAGATGTTTGTGCCGTGGGATTGACATTAATATGTTTCGTTTCCTTTAAATGTTGCTTTGAGACAGTGGGCAGAGAGAGCAGGGAGTTAGTGCTCTGGACCTCCTGTAACCAAATGCCAGGCAGTTGTCTCTGCCGACCTGTCTGCTCAGGGTCAACAGTCCTGACTTAATGGTGCTGAGCTTCTAGGACTTTTAAAGCCCGGACATAGGAAAAGATTGTACTCACCTTTCAATGTAGCCAGTAAGTACAAATGGACAGAATTGGTTTCTCAGATTCTAATCAAACAAAGCCTTCTAATGGGAAAGACCAATTAATGTGAACATGTGTGACTATGCAGAATACATTATATAGTGTATAGCACACATCTGACACATTGTGTGACTCAGTTATAATAGCATGCGTAGTTTTATTTTACTGACAAATTATATTGTAAATTTTATAGCATGAAGTTAAACTACCGAACGTGTATTGGTCAGAATGTCATGACAGCATTATTTGTTATATTGTGGTTAAAATATATGAAGCTTTTTTGAGTATAAGAAACTGCTTTTCATTGTTTGTTATATCACCACCTTGTTCAGGGATATGTGTCCAATGCATAACTCACTTTTTTCAGACCACACATTTGATTTGAAAATGCATCTAGTTTCACTCTGGAAGCAGAGTTGAAGCCCAAGTGTTCTAGCACCAGAATTCCTAGGTTTGAATTCAGGCTCTGCCACTTACTAGCCACGTGACTTTGGCAAGTTCCTTCATTGCTCCGTGCCTCAGTTTCCCCATCTGTAAATGGATATGACAGCTACCTTGTCTGTGAAGAGAAAATTAGTTAATCTGTAAAAAGCGAATAGCACATACTAAGTGTCTAATATCATGGCCTTCAGTGATTTGATTTTTCTGGTTACATTGTTGATCAGTGAATGCTGTCTGTCAAAGCAAAAAAAGGTTGTATAATTAGACCTTTTAATTAGTATAATGTCAGTCATTTAGCCATTGTTAGCTCTCCAGAATTATTTTACTCTTATTCCATCTCTGTTCTACATCCATTAAAGTAGTTGAAAACTCAGTCACTAACACCCCTGCCCCCCTTTAAATGCTTCTTAATGTAGCCTTGGAGAACGATGACGACCCTTCCATAACATGCCTCCCGATAATACTGGGTCGTCCGTCTGTCTGTCCGTCCCTCCCGACACCGAAGTGCTCTCACTTGACTCTCATCTGTGTGCTAGTCCTGGGTCCCTACACTCTTGAGACAAAAGAATACGTTTTTCACTCGAAAGCTGCAGATTAATCAGCAATGTAGGTGAAAGACTCAGGAGTAGTTCCAAACTAAATGTGCAGCCTGTCTCCAGCCGTGTGCGTTGCTTCTTCACCGTGCCCTCGGCACCGCAGTAAAGCCGTGTTCGCTCTGCTCACAGAGGTCGATTCGAGCCAGCTGAGACGCCAGCTGTGTGGAGGAAGCCAAGCGGCCATAGAGAGAATGATCCACTTCGGAAGAGAGCTACAAGCCATGAGCGAGCAACTAAGGCGCGAGTGCGGCAAGAACACAGCAAATAAAAAAATGCTGAAGGTAAATTCGTTTTCCCTTAAACAGTAATCAGCATGTCAAAGAAGCGGGACACTACTCAACAGCTTGCGTTGGGAACGCGCACCAGGGTGACCCGGTCTAGGACCCAGGTGAGAGGGCTGGTGATGCAGCTGGGACCTTCTGGGGAGAGAGAGCATGGCCCTTCGGGTCACAAAGACACACACAGGATGTCTCAGGCCTCCATTCATGAGCCTTTGTGAACTTTGTGAATCCTTAGCTCTGTTGTTTCTGCTGTAAATTTGGCAAAGTAAACGAAAACAAGAATTTCCCCCCATACAACGGTACATGTTAGATATTTGTATTATTCTGTGAAGTGCTGTTGAGCGCTGCAACAAATAGAAGTCATGTATGTACATGGTTTTCATCTGGGTAGGGATTGGCCATCTCTTACAGACACAATAGTTCCATATGTTTTCACGTCTGTTCTGGATTGATAGCCGTAATTCTAAGATGGAGAAGGTTTAAACAGTTGAGTCAGTTTGTCCGAATCTCGGTGCATCCGTTGAAGATCCCTCTAAGGGAACACTGTAGTGAGACATGGGGGCACGGTGGCTCCTTTCACTCTGCTGTTTTCCCTACTCACCAACCCAGGAAACATGAAATACTGGGCTGTCATTTTTTTTTTTACCCAGGCATTAGATTGAGCTCAAGGATAATTTTTTAAAACACTTTCTCCAGATTGTTTTGTTGAAAGACGAGAAAAACAGCAAAGGGGAGCTGCATCTAGTGGCCCTGAGACTGATCCTGGGGTGTGGCAGGAAAGGGCAACAGAATCCTGCCACCCACACGGTCTGACCTGAGTGCTGGCCTACAGGGAGGTCGGGAAGACCCTGCTGTGCTGAGCAGGTTGCTGTCTCAAACCTCAGGGCGATTCCGACAAAGTGGTCCCGTGAAGAGCATCAGAGTAGAGCCGCCCCGTCAGGTTTCCTGGGCTGCATGTTATAGGAGCAGAGCACCGGTCCTTTATCCCGTGGAACCACCGTGGGTGGATTCAAACTGCCGTCCTCTCGGTTAGCAGCTGATCACTTAACCATTGAGCCACCAAGGCCCCTTCCTGTGTAGCGGATCAGTATTCAGTGAGTGTTTATTTAATTAATATTGTAATCGTTTGAAAAGCGCAACTCATTTTCCCAGAGTTGAAGTTTTCATGACCACACCAACTTCGTAAAACCCTTTTTTGGTGCTAAGAAGATACTTGATGTTTAGGCTCGGTTTTCACATTCTCTTAGGGGGTTGAAGTTAGCCACTTAGGAAATTACTCTATTGCTAGGTCTGGGGCTACCACCTCTTTTACACTTATGCCCTGTAAAAAGGATGGATGACCCTGGCAAGCTTTTGTTTAATTGGGCGATAGCTCCCAGCCTGACGTGCGCTGTGCCGGACTGTGGCGCTGTCACAGGGCAGGCGGCTCCGGAGTCCACACTGCACAGCTGGGGGAACAAGAAGGCAGGCACCACTGATGCGCTGTTGCGGAAATCATTTCGACCTCACAGCTCCTGATGTGCCCTTTTGGCAATCGTAGATACACAGTACATCACCGTTTTCTGTCTTGTATTTGAATTTGCATGAAGCCCAGAAAACAGCTCCCATGGCCTCTTCTAGAGATCGTCCCGATTCCATTCTGAATTAAGTTCACATGTGCGTCCCCGTCTTTCCTTGGCGGCTGCTGCTCCTCTTCTTCAAAGGCAATGCCAAATGCTAGACAATTTCTTGGTAATTTGACTAATATTGCTCTTTCCTCAAACTAACCGTGATCCACATGGGGTGAAGATGGGTCACTGAGCCGCCTGCTGAAACAGAAGCCAGGATTTAAGGGAGATGAGACAAGAAAAAAAGTTGTTTGCCTTAGTTGAAAAGCTTCAAATAACCACCACCTTCCTCTTATTCTTCATTGCTCTATCTATGTGATTGTAGGTGTTTGTTTTTTAAATGGGTGTTGACTTTGCATAAATTTCAGCAGTGTGTGTGTGTGTGTGTACCCTCTCAGGCAGCAGATTCACCCACTGCACTGCCTTTTGGCCCCTTGAGGGCTGCCTCCTCGAACACCGAGTGTATATCAACGCAAGATGACATCCTTGACAACTTCAGTCTTTTCTCTATTTTTGGTTCAGTTGTGAGGATTTAGGTTTTCTTTAAGGTATAATTGAAGGTTGGAGATTGTAGGCTGAAATCCTTGATCTCTTCATCAGTATGTGCTTCAAGCCCTCCTCCCTTCCAACAAGCAAGGTTGTGTCATCTGCATTTGAAGGTGGAGCTGTGCAGTCCTGATGCCACATGCTCCTTTATATAAGCAGCTTCTCTGATGGTCTGCTCAGCATACAGACTGAACGAGCATGGTGAGAGGATACAGCCCGGACGCACAACTTTGCTGATAAGAAACCATGCATCATTCCCTTGTTCTGTTCACACAACTGCCTCTTGATCCTGTACATGAGTGTGAGGAGTGAGTGTATGGTAAATCCTGTTCAGCTTCAGAGAACTTGCCAAGTCATTGAGAAGTCCGACATGACTGAAGTTGTCAGCTCTATGAGATGAGGAGCCAGATAGGTTTGCCTAAGAGGCACGGGCACTCTAATAGAATTCTCATGTGCATTCTTTCATACCTGCATTCTTTGTACCTGTATGCCTTTGTTGTATGCCATTTGCTAAATGAGCCAGGGGAAGATCCAGAGATAGTTTTGGGAGTGCCATGATAATTCAGTACCACTGTCCTATCTTGCATTGAGATCTTGACCTTTGGCAGGTCAGTAAGACGTGGTTGACTGCACAGCGCTAGCCTCATTTCAGGCCTTGCACTTCACGGTGAAGCAGGACCACTCAGCCCCCACCAAACCAACCAGGGCATCGACATTTTGAGGTGACTACTTGCCAAAGGCCACACAGTTACTTAGTGGCAGCACTTGGACTTAAAAGGAGTCAGAGACGAGGAGACTCATGGGAAGAAAGAGTTGTCAGTGACCTTGAAGGGATCACTGTAAAGATGATAGGAGGCTAGTGCCTTGGAGTGATCCCTTGAACCCCGTTCTGTTTGAGCGGTTTGGACTGAAAACCACTGTCTCCCCAACAGGACGCCTTCAGTTTGCTAGCTTACTCAGACCCGTGGAACAGCCCCGTCGGCACTCAGCTGGATCCGATCCAGAGGGAACCTGTGTGCTCCGCTCTCAACAGTGCAATATTGGGTAAGTCACCCAGCCAGCCTCACTTCCACACAGCCTGGGGCTGTTTTTCAATGGGCTGTTGGGGCTCACATTTATGTTTTGGTAAAATCATATGGATATAAAATATACATGACCTGCCCCTCCTTCATTTCCGTTCTACATTGTGGATTCACATGGAATAAAATCAGATGACTCGGGTTCGGCTTAGGGAGCATGGAAAATAGAGAGATGTCAGTGTTTCTGCATTTTTGACAGCTGTGGAAGTCTCCTGCCTCTCACTGAGGAAGGGGGCTTTTCCTGGCCCTTGTATTTAAAAGGGGCCTAAATATTACCTGGCGCAGGGCACCACTTCCCCTTGCCTCCCCACTTTAGTAAAGCATTTTAAGCCCATGGTTCTGCGCTGGGAACCAGGAGGGGGCCTTGTCACTGCTCACTCTGGCTAGACCCTCTGACTCGGGTTTGGGAGAGGAGGGTGTGCAAGGGGCAAGTGGGTGAGAGCAGAAAACGAAAGCCTGGGGCTTTTCACTTGTCTGTGTTCAGGGGCTGGCTGTTTGGGGAGGATTTAGACGAGCCAGTAGAGGGACTGAAATAAAGTTGTACAGAGGCTGTGTCAAAGGGGTAACCTGTGATCGTGAGAGCCCAGGGGAGCAGGGAGTATGAATCTGGGCAGCATGGAAGAGTTCTTGGTAGAGGATTCATGGGAACCCGCTGTCCAGCTGCCATAGAGGCATAGAGGGCATTCATTGGTGCAACCCTGGTTCCAGTTGGTGGTTGGGCGGAGCTAGAGGGTACACGTACCAGGAAGCGGTCAGGAGGCGGTACAGTGAAGGGGAATGGAGCTTGTGCATCTGCAGTGTCATTCAGCCCTCTCCTCGGGACCTTCCTCTCCTTGTCCCGCCATTGCTGCCTAAGACAGGGCTCGAGCCCACCCAGCACCACAGCTCCCACAGGACGTCAGCTGACCGGAGAACTGTTGAGGTCAAACTGGGTTTGCATTTGAATAAATCCAGCTCTGTTCTTTGAACTATAAATGTGGGCGAGGAAGAGGGCAACTTTTTTAATACACCACCTCCTTGCAGTCTGTTATTTTTCACCCACAACAGTGAAAATCTCCTGTCCAGTGATGTGGTGCATTAATGAAGCATGACTGGCACCAGCTGACTGGGGGCACGTAGCCCAAGGCAGCCAGAAAGGAGAGTTTAAAAAATTCTCTGCCCCGTTGGTTCGTTTCCGTGTCTTTATGTAACTCTGCAACTATCTAATTTCTAGGCAATTGGGGCTTTCACAGGTAACTTAGATAGGGGTGACTTTTCATCTGACTAGAATCCATTTCCCAGGTAAAATGTGAGTTCCCGCGAGATTGGGGGTTATACTGCCTTTCAAGAGTCTCTTGAACTCGGAGGGTTTCAGACTAATTCAGGAGAATTGGAGCGCTACCACGACTGGACATGAGAGGAGAGTAATACAGACTGCCTAGCGAGGAAGGAGCGTGAAGGGAGCTCTGGTGCCTGCCCTTCTGAAACCCAGGAGTGGTAAAGGTCTAATTCCGAGGGTGTCAAGGCTTTCTACAGTTTTTGATTTCTTAGGTTCATTTCAAGAGTTTCTTAAATTGCTTAGGACCATTATGCAAGGTATGTGTGTTCTTACATGCTGTGCTGTTAAACAGATTCCGTTATGACAGTTGCTTATATGTAACTTTGGGTTTATTCCGTTACCTGGCATATGTGTGTATTCACATATTGTCCGATGTCTTAAAGGCAGTGTAAAAATAAAGCGTGAGTAGTACTAGCAACAGTACCACCATCGGAACCTGACTTTGGGGAGAATAATGACCTGGATTGCCATCAACCAGGCAGGCCCTGTGAAGTGGGGGCCAGACACCCCTCCATTCTTTCATACCACCGCACACTACGCTTTTCCGGATTTGGTAATCCATTGCAATGGCCAGGCACAACTCACAGGCAAACTGAGGGTTAAGACTGGGCTTAGAGTTATTAGGGAATAGGGCATATGTAACTCCATGTCAGGACCAACAGACTACAACTCAGGAATCAGGGTCAGGAAGCTTGTAGACAGTCTTTTTTTCGGTGTAGGACAGCTCTCGGGCTCTTCTTGGTCCCCTCTGAATGGGCCTCTTGGCTCTGCGCTCTGTTGCTGCTATCTTCAGTGCTAAGCCTGGCCTATTTTACAGCTTTTTCAGGAAGGTCTCCTCTCAGTACTTCTGTGGAGTTGGTTGCTTAAATAGACAAGCTCCTTGTCTATTTCAAGTGAGTGATGGCATGCCCAACCAGGGCCATGAACTGACCAATCCCCTCTCAGTAGGACACTTATTTGTATAATGGGCTGGGTTACAGCTCACCTCACTAGCATAGTCTGTTGAGCAGTCCCTGCAAGGTGCATCCCAATTGCAGAGCAGGCTGCAGTCCAGTATCAGACCAACTTGTTTACAGGCTCCCCAGGAAATGCCAGCCCACCTAGACAAAAGTAACAAGGTCGCAGGAGCTGAAAAGTAGTACAAAGGTAATTTCTCAGGATTTGGGGGTGCGGGGAGGGTGTGCGTCTTTTTCCAAAGAAACGAGAAAAGGCCACAAAAGAACTCATTTCAGCACAAATGGTTATAACCAGAGGTCTGTCTTGCCAAAATAAAATGGCAAAAAATTACAGACCCTCTGGCTGCCTTTGAAGGAGACCCAGTGGCGCAGTGGTTGGCCTCCCAAGGAGGAAGTGGAGAGTTGCGATCTCAGAAACCCACAGTAGTTCTATCCTGTACTGAGTCAGAATGGGCTTGCTGGCCTTGAGTTTGGTTTTCGGTTTGTCCTTAAGGACAAGGTTATGTCCTTAGGAATCTTCATACTTTTTGGTCAAAAATTAAAACCGTTGATTCAAGTTAGGCTGAATTTAAAAAGTCAGACCTGCTTATCAAATAGGTAAGAAAGTCAAAATTCAGCATGTATCTTGCCATACCATTTCGCATTTCCGTATTTTCTCAGAACTTCATCCCTTCAATTCCATCTGGTATCTTTCTTCCTCCCACCACCATACAAGGGGGCTTCAAACAGTTCATGGAAAACTTTCGTTTTTGTCGTAGAACCTTTGAGAGCTCCCTCCTATAGTCACTGTGAAGCAGGAGTGGAAATAAACCATGGAGTCTCGCCAGCGACGGACTGATTAGTAACCACGCCATGAGAGCTCACACATTATATTCGTAGAAATGAGCCATTTCTGTAACGTTATCAACAGTTGATTTTGTAATCTCTGAGAGCAAACTTTGGCTAATTTATTTGTACAGGGCTTAGTACTCAAAGGAAACGTGATATGTAAAGTTCCAAAGGCCTCAGGTTTACCACCTATTTTTTTTGGGAATGTTTGAAATAAAAGTTAATTCCTCCAAAATTACTGAGTGGTTTTGCCGTCACAGGAATCAGAAAACTGGCGCACGCCTCGGGCCACTAGTGAAAGCTCTTATCATTACCAGCAGTCATGTCAGAAAGTTTTGTTGGAGTGTGGAGTATTACAGAATGCCTTGCTAATGTCTATTTTCCCACCTTTTCTCCTCAGAAACCCACAATCTGCCAAAGCAACCTCCACTCGCCCTAGCAATGGGCCAGGCCACACAATGCCTAGGACTGATGGCACGATCCGGCATCGGAGCCTGTGCCTTTGCCACAGTGGAAGACTACCTACATTAGCTATGCAGTTACAAGAGCTCACACGTATATTGTGGCATATAGTCAACATGGAAGTAGACCAGCTCTGCTGATTTGAAATTTAGATTTTTTAATTATGTACTGGGGACAGGTTTTTGTCGCTTTACATTGCTTCCTAGTTTACAGCATGATGCAAATGATTTTCTAACTTAGTGTTAGGAGAAATTATTTTCCATCTTTAACCTCTTAGTTATCTAAGAGTTTAATATTACTGAATTTCAGACGTTCAAATTGATCATTACAAATCCTTTAAAACAATTACCTAAAAGAAACCAAAAAGTCCTGCCTTCTTTGGGGGAGGGGAGACGGGGTAAGGAAGCGGAACAGGTTGTGTTTGTGTTAGCATGTGGGTGATGTAAACTTCAAATTGGGAGATGTTCCGACCCCCCACTCCCATATAAGCATCCAATCAGTGTAACTTGCAAAATGCATAAACATCCGACAGTTTGAATTTATAGTGTTGATGGAAGAAATCATTTTTAATGTGTACTGTAAAACTTGAAATACTCAGGAGCTGAGTGAATATGTTTGTTGCTACTTACAATCCCGACCTGTTAGTCCCGGTAGTTTTGTTTTAACATGGTCTTTTTCAACTTTGTTTCCTGTTTAACTACAGACCGTTTCTGTTGTAGACTCACAAGTTTAACTGTTGTATTATAACAGTATTACATGTCAACAGTGTGGTTATGACCTTTATTTATATAAAAACCAAATATTTAGTCAATTTACCGTGTCTTAATTTAATCTTTGTACACCTTCCATTTTTAAGTGCTTAAATGAGTACTATATTGCAATAAAAATGTAGTGATATAATTAACCAGCCATTAAAAATTTACTTCTACAGAGTCTACTGTCAATTGAGTTTATACGCTAGGTCTTGCACACGTCCTAGAAACATAAAGGACCACTAAAGCTGATGGTGCTCCATCATCTGGGCTCTGCATCCCAAGACTGACCTCGCTTTACTGCTGTTGGACGATAAGCTCAAGTCCACAACGGGAGAAACAAAGACAAGGTCATCACTTCCTTGTTTATTACCAGTCGTGTAAACTGACCAAAATCAAACGAAGCCGTTCAACTTGATGACTGTCCTTCGGTGTTCGAGCCTTCTCAAAGCAGCGATCTGTGCTTCGGTCCTCGTTCCCAGTGCCCCGTAAAGCTGGCGTGGGGGTGACAGGTTGGACTGCGGCTGGAACGCTCGCCCGTACAGTGGAGACAGATGAGGACTGTCCTAGAGGGTCACTGCGAGTCAGCTGACCTGATGGAAGGAAGCGACGTCCCAGTGGATGGAAGTCCCAGTGACGCAACACAGCAGTCTGAGGAGCAAATTCTCCTCAGAGGCCATATCGGCTCAGTTGGAAGACTTCTTAGACAGCCAGCTTGTCCTCTTTTTTTATTGGGGAGGGGGGGGGTAGCAAGGCAGCCGCAGAGGAGTGCCGGTCCTGGCGTGTACTGCTTGTATTCCTCTGGATGGTTAAGGGAAAAACAATTCCTTTTGAGCAGCCTTTTCTTTGGGGCCCTCAAAGGCTTCAAGACATGATTGTTCTCCAGAAAGATGAAATGTGGATAAGAACTTCCCCATAACGTCTTAAAATGAATTATGGTTTAGTAGGTAAAAAAAAAAAGCAAAACAAACCTCAAAAATTAAATTGTAGACACCAGAAAGTACTGATTGTTAGCTCCGATCTTTCCCAGATGCCGCCTTCTTTCTGAACATCCAGCGCCTTTTGAACCTCTGGGCATTTTGTTTTTTCTGGGCTCCTAAAACAGTTGTATACAGTAAACATCAGCCACATACGCGAAACGTCCCGGGAAACACATAATTCCAACATGTCTGCTGATTCCCTAGACTTCTCCATGCCAAGGCTAAAAACCCGGGCCCCCAGCATTCCACTCTGCATCTATGCCACACCCACCTGCTTTTCGGAAGCAACTTTTAACAAGGAAAAATATAACCCTTCCTAATTATCTGAGGATTTGACGATTTCCATAAGAGAT